GCCAAATCCAGCTCTTACTGTATAGACTGTATGTGATTAAGTCAAAGAGAGAGGAAAGTGGGGTAGGGAAGGGACTTTTTGGGAAGGTTGGTAGCATAAATGAGCCCTTGTTCCAAACTATACATCGTTTTTTTCAGCAGAAGTGTTTTTCTTCTTCTACCTGTGGCCCTGGCAGAGGAGAGCCACAGCTAAGCTGCACTGATCTGGCCTCCTCAGAGCCTCCAGCTCCTCCTCCCTCTGACGGGCTCTGACTGCGCAGCTGGCTCTCCAGGAGTCTGACAGAAACAGGGGAGAGATAACAACAGGATACCAGAGTTTATACCAGAGTGAAATGCAGTAAATGGACTGCATCTATATAGAGCAGGGGTTCCCAACCTTGTTTTCCCAAGAGCCCCCCAAATGCACTCCTGTTGGACGTTGCGGCCCCCCCCCCCACCCCCCCCCCCCCCGCAGATGAATGTGAAGTATTTTGTTAAAGGAGGGTCAAAGCGTAATTAAGGAGCACTATTGGAGTGACTTGATGGTTATTGGACTCAGGATTAATTCATTTGGATTCCCGCTGTATGAAGAAATTAAAGGACGGTGCAAGTGGAAACAATTCACAAAGGGATTAAACTGTTTAAAACACATGCTCAAAGTAAGCCGGATTTTGCCGATGTGTTTATGTGGATTCAAAAGTCATAAATAATCTACAAAATGGAGTCGACCGATCTGATCGGAGCAACTGTGACAAATAATCCAACTGAAACCAGCATGGACAATGACCATGTTTTAAAAATGCGCTTATGCAGACAAGCCTGGTTTAGACACTTTACGGGCAGAAGAAACATTTCTATTAAAGAAAGAATTATACATTTCTGTCTTTTTATGCCTTTAATGGCTATTAACTTGAATTTTTATTAAAATTAATTAATCAATTATTATTTTAAAAAAAAATAAAAAAAAGTCTAAATATGATATTTGGCCTCAAATCATCTGAGGCCTGGCGCCCCCCCTGCGACCTTTGGCGCGCCCCCCAGGTTGGGAACCACTGATATAGAGCTTTACTAGACCACTCAAAGCACTTTTACAACACATGTCAGCCTTGACCTAATCATGCACATTCATACAGCAGCAGAGGCTTTGAAATGTACAAAGGATTACCAAAGTATCTTCTTCCAAAACGTTCATTCACACACCGTTGACATTAATTTGATGCTTAGTGATTTGCTTATGGACACTTTGACACATTGATTGCAGGAGCCAGGGATCAAACCACCGACCCTCTGACTCGTGGACAATCACTCTAACTCCTGAGTCACATCATATATAAATGACAGCATAGAATCTGAGGAGAAGCGAGTTGATACACAGGTAACAGACTGACTTGTTGGCCACTCGTACAGCATCGTAAGCGTGCGCCAGGTCCTCTACTTTCATCTTCACAGCCGGGTCTTTGGCCACGTCCATGCTCACCATCAGCTGATCCTGTCAATGCAAACACAGTGTGGAACATTACTGTCTGATCTGACGAAATAATGTTCAAGTTCAAAAGCAGGCAGGCCTAGAATAGACTTTTTCTTTTTCTTTTTTTTTTGTGGGTAGAAAATATGTTTCTGTTTAATAATGCTCATAAAATGTTTTTTCTACCAAACTTTATTCTTTGTGATGTTTCTCTTCCAACTCCTACACTCTCTCACCATTGGTGTTTGGAAGCTCCACACCGACTCTCTCCGCTCCAGGGTGGGAGAAGTCACGCTGACCCTGCGGACCTCCTCTGGGGAGGGTAAGCATGATGAGAAGGATGATGAGAAGGATGAGAAGGGTGACAGCGGGGCGGTGGAGGGAGAGGGGAGCTCTAAACTCAGACTCTGAGTGGAGTCCGTCCTTCTGTGGACTTTGGTGCCCTGTTGAGAAGAGAGAAAATACCCAAAGCAACCAAGAGGGAGTTTTAGACCAAAATAGTATTTCTGTACGAGTATTTAACCGTGTCTGTAGGTGTAGTTATGAACCTCGGTGAGCAGACTCATCTCCCTCAGGTTGTCGTATCTCTGCTCCAGTCTGGTGAAGTCTCTCAGGAGACCCTGGTACTTCCTCCTCTCCTCATCCAGCTCCGCCCTCAGAGATGCACTCGCCTCAGACACAGCCTGCTGCACACACTCTGCACAGAGAGAAACACAGAGGGAGGAAAGACACCCAGGGTTCACCTTTGAAGTATGCAGTATGTGTCATGCAGCAAAGAGAGAATAACTACCTTCTTGTGCTTGTTCTTGTTCAAACAAGCGAGCAGAGAGATCCTCTTTCTCTTGGCAGAAACTGTCCTTTTCTCTCTGCAGGGCTTGCAACTCCTTAAGGAATATGGGAGATTGAGAATAACTCATGAACATTTCTATAAATTAAGATTGTAAAACATGGTCAGGGAAAAGACAATGTTTATTCTTTACATGCAATGAGAACCGAAGCACCAGCACAGGGTAACATACTAAGTGAAGAAAGTCTTTGCTCAGTAGGCCTACTTGTGTGAGTTGCAGGATGTCCTGTGCAGCTTTCTCCTCAGCTCTCCTCCTTTCCTCCACCTCCTTCTCGCTGATGACGGGGCAGGGTGGAGGTTTCTCTTGTTTCTGGCTCTCCATTTTCTGTACCGTCACTTTCAGAGCCTCCAGCTCAGCGCTGCCGGCCTCTCGCTCGGCGTGCAGCGTCTCTCTCAAAGCTGCAGCCTCCCTGGCCTGGACACAAACAAACTCAACTTTGAATATGAAATACAATGACTACTTGAGAGAGAACAAAATCAGAAACAAGTGTACAAATAAATGTCTATCAACAAGGAGCTTTAGAGCCTTATAGACAGTTGGAGAGAGACAGGACAGCACAACTTTGAGTCAACCATTTTGGACAATAAAACCCCACATGCCCAGCGTTTCAAACCTCCCCTTCCCCTCGGTAAAACATACAGAAATTCCTCTTAACCCTTATGCTTATACTAGAGATATTTGAGTTTGAGTTTCCAAAGATCACAACACAGGACCAAACTCCCTTCACACACCTCCTGGTCGGCTCTGAGCTGCAGCTGCATCAGTTTGACCTCCATGCCCTTGTTGAGCTCTCTGAACTTCTCCACGGATCGGGCCTCTGTCTTCAGTTTCATCAGCTCTCTCCTGGCGGCCCTGCGGCGCGCGCAGCACTGCATGAACACCACCGTCTCACGAACCCGCCTGTACGCCCGCCTCGCCATCCACCCACGCACCCTCGCCTGGAGCAGCACAGCAGCACGCTCCACCAACACCTGAGGAGGAAAGAGTTTAGACTTTTAACTGAGGTTATATACACATATACTCAGGGGTGGAATGAAATTAAGTACATTAGTAAAGTAATGTAATTAGGTACTATTCTATTTTGTCATTCTACTTCCCTACATTTAAGCTGCAAAATTCATATTTTTTACTCAGCTACGTTTATTTAACAATAATAATTAGAAGCTACTTATAAAGTCGTTTTCCTATTAGTGGCTATACAAATAAAACACCAGATTTTGTTTTAATATTATACGTTTAGTACAGTACTGTACTAAAGATTATGGGTCAACATTGACTAACTAGAAAATGTAAATGCTATTACATGTATTTGTTAATGATAAAAGCAGAATAATATGCTATCCTATAATTAGATAATACTTTGAAAACAGCTATTGTGCATACTGAGTATGTTTACTTCGAATGCTTTAGGTACATTTAGCTGATAGTACTTCTAAACTTTGACTCAAGCAACATTTAGAATTTTTGATTTTGAAATGTAATGGAGGATTTTAGGACGAAAGTATTTCTACTATTAATTATATTTTAACTGTGTAACTACATTTAACTTCTATCGTAAACAGAACATAATCAAACGTTTAAAGAAGTGCTGACGAACCATTTGAAATACGCAGGTGGAGGTTGCTTTTTAAAGATCTACTCAAGCAGTAAGTGTAAGTGTAGTAATGATTAAGGCTGTAATGTGCTGACCTGTCTGTATCTGCGGCGGGCCATGGTTCCTCTGCTAAAGGCCTGGATGGTGATGGTGGCCTGTCGGATCATGAGGAACAGCTGCCTGACGGCCACCATGCGGTGCGTCTTCTGGATCACTAGAGCAGCCTTAGTGTAGCGCAGAGTCAGGGCCAGTCTGCAGCCAGGAGGATGAATGGGACAATTAAGTATTTATCTGGCAATTTCTTTTTTGAGGATGAAACAAAATGAACAAAAAATTAAGAAAATAAAAAAACTAGCACTATTTTTATGGTTATTTACCGAATATTGTGCAGTGTCAAATGCATTGTAGCTCACTTGAAATAGTTTGAAACATAAAACTACACTGAACAAAAATATAAACGCAACACTTTTGTTTTTGCTCCCATTTTTCACGAGATGAACTGAAAGATCTAAAACATTTTCTATATACAGGAAATTTTTAGATCTTTCAGTTCATCTCGTGAAAAATTGGAGCAAAAAACAAAAGTGTTGCGTTTATATTTTGGTTCAGTGTAGTTTATGTTTCAAACTATTTCAAGTGAGGCTACCATGCATTTTGACACTGCACAATATCTGTAAATTAACCCATAAAAATAGTGCTAGTTTTTTTATTTTTTTTATTTTTGTCGATTTTATTTCATCCTTCAAAAAGAAATTGCAGATAAATACTTAATTGTCCCATTCATCCTCCTGGCTGCAGGGGAATGGGCCTGACGTCTGCCGCTATCACTTAAGGCTGCTCTAGGATCGCAGAGACCGCACCCGCATGGTTGCCGTCAGGCAAGCTGTTCCTCATGATCGACAGGCCACCATCACCCATCCAGGCCCTTCAGCAGGAGGGAACCATTTGGCCCGGCCGCAGATACAGACCAGGTCAGGCCAATTACACCTTAATCATTACTACACTTACACTTACTGCTTGATTAGATCTTTTAAAAAGCAACCTCGCACCGCGTATTTCAAATGGTCGTCAAGACTTCTTTAACACGTTTGATTATGTTTTCTGTTTACGAAGAGTTAAAAATGTTAGTTACCACAGTTAAAATATAATTAATAGTAGAAATACTTCTCCTAAAATCCTCCATTAGCCATTCAAAATCAAATTCTAAATGTTGCTTTGGGATTCAAAGTTTAGAAGTACTACAGGCTAAATGTACCTAAGCATTCGACGTAACATACTCATATGCACAATGGCTGTTTTCAAATTTATCTTAATTTATAGGATTAGCATTATTTATTCTGCTTTTATCATAACAAATACCATGTAATAGCATTTACCATTTTCTGTTATCAATGTGCCCATAATCTTTAGACATACTGTACTAAACGTATTAATATAAAACAAAATTGGTGTTTTATTTGTATAGCCACTAATAGGACAAACGCTTTATACCAGTAGTTCTAATTATTATTGTTAAATAAACCCGTAGCTGAGTACAAAAATAGAATTTTTGCAGCTTAAATGTAGGGAAGTAGAATGACAAATAGAATATACTAATTACAATTACTCTTCTAATGTATTTAATTTCCATTCCACCCCTGAGTATATGTTAAACCTCAGTTAAAAGTCTAAACT